TCTAAATAAGAAATTCAGGGTACCCTGCCTCGGATACAATAGTTTCTTATCCAACGCCGTCACTGTAGGGTTCCCCTTACGGGTACCCTAGAACATTAACAAAAGCCTTGAAGCCCAAGACCCGTATATAATCCCTATAGAACCACTCCTCAAGGAATCATTCAATCCAAGACCAAAGAACGAACTTTGACTCCTCATAAAGCCCTGAAGCCCGAAAGCGACACAACTCTGAAGCCCTAAAACCCGAAACTTACAACCCTCACAGGAACCCTTAAAGGCAGCCCTAATCTAGAAACAGTACCCTTAAAGGGCACTCGACTATAAGCCCTAAACCCTCTAGTACCTTAAAAAGAACCCTGTCAAAAACCCTAAACCCTAAACCCTATAGTACCCTTAAAGGAACCCTATTGTCAACCCTAAACCCTGAACCCTATACTCTAAACCCTGAGCCCTAAAACCCTCAACCTTTAAACCTTACACCCTAAACCCTATATAAACCCTCAACCTTAAACCTTACACCCTAAACCCTATATAAACCCTCAACCTTAAACCTTACACCCTAAACCCTATAGTACCCTTAAGGGAGCCCCGGCCTGCCCTCTTGGATGTGCTGCCCGGCGCTCAGCATCGACGTGGCCTCCCGGAGGAGGCTCTCGGCCTGGAGCAGAGCAAAGGCCGGATGAAGCCATAAACCCTGGTTTAGGGTTTAGGGTTTAGGGTTTAGAGTTTAGGGTTTAGGGTTTAGAGTTTAGGGTTTAGGGTTTCTAAGAACCTAAAACCTACTTTTTTGGTAGGGTCCCTATAAGGGCTCTTAAGGTAAACCCTAAACCCTGAACCCTAAATCAGGGTTTAGGGTTTAGGGTTTTGGGGTTTAGGATGAAGCAATAAACCCTAAACCCTGAGCCCTAAATCCTGGGCAATAAACCCTGAACCCTGAGCCCTAAATCCTAAGCAATAAACCCTGAACCCTGAGCCCTAAATCCTAAGCAATAAACCCTAAACCCTGAACCCTAAATCCTAAGCCATAAATCCTAAACCCTGAGCCCTAAATCCTAAGCAATAAATCCTAAACCCTGAGCCCTAAATCCGAAGCAATAAACCCTGAACCCTGAGCCCTAAATCCTAAGCCACAAACCCTGAACCCTGAACCCTAAATCCTAAGCCATAAATGCTAAACCCTGAGCCCTAAATCCTAAGCCATAAATCCTAAACCCTGAGCCCTAAATCCTAAGCCATAAATCCTAAACCCTAAGCCGGGGTTCTATGGTTCATACGTCTTCCGGGTCCCGTACACATGACCATCATATTAGGGGCAGGCCCCAGAGAGCCCACTACCCCTTAATTCAGGAATATACCTTACATTATAGGGGCCTCAAGATTATGGTTAAAGGTATCCTCCTTAATTAAAGCATGTACCTTAAATTAAAGGGCCTCAAGATTATGAATTTAAGGCATATTCCTTAATTGAGGGGTACTGGGCTCTCTGAGGACAAAGGCCGGATGAAGTATAGTCGGATTCTGTAAGGGTTTAGGGTCTAGGGTTTAAGATTTATAGGGTTCTATAAAGGTTTAGGGTTTAGGGTATTTAAGTATAGCAGGATTCTGTAAGGGTTTAGGGTTTAGGGTGTAAGAGTTCCACAAGGGCTCTAGGGTTCTATAGCAGGGTTCTATACGCGTTTAGGGGTGAAGTACAATAGGGTTCTATCATGAGGTTGGGTTTAGGGTTTAGGGTTGAAGCATAATAGGGTTCTTCATAAGGGTTCTATAGGGGCTAAAGGGTTCTAGATCAGGCATTCCCTTAAGGGGTCTACAAGGGGTTTTGGTAGGGTTACTTAACAGATTGAGCGACAGGACAAAGCTGGGATGAGGTGCTTAAAGGATCATGGAGCCAATGGTTTAAGGTGTGGGTGGTTCCTTTTTGTGAGGTTCAATAATGGCTCTATGATCGGATTCCGTATTCAGGGTGTCTGCAAAGGGGGGTCTTAGGGGTCCTGAAAGGATCATCGGCCTTAGTAACGTAAAGGCTTCCTGAACGGGTTCCGCGACGGGTTCATTATGGGGATTTTGGGACTTTGGCTTCCTATTGAGGGTACTGCAGGGTTCTATAGTAGTGTTCCCTTCAAGGGTTCTATAAGGATTCTACGAAACTTAGTACTTGGGGTTATTATTAAGGTAGCTATACTTTTAGCTACTTAGTTACTCCAATTAAGGTACTTTATAGCCATAACTACGTCCCAAGATCCTCCTATGGTTGCTGATATAAACCCTGCATTACCCTGAGGACCCTATACTATGGGAATAATGGTATATTCCTTATTATTATGGGCAATGCAGGATTATATCATCAGCCGTAGTAGGTGGGGTGATCCAAAATGAAAAGCCCTTACACGACGGATCCTTAATCCTACCCTAGCTTTATCGCTTTGACGCGCTGTAGGTTTTGGTCTAAAGGGTAAAATCATGGCTCTACGGATTCTGTAGGGGTTCTACTGGAGCTCAGCATTTCGCTTAGTGATTCGATAGGCTTCATTTGAGTGGCTCCAAAATTCATGAAAGATTCTCTAAAGTTCTTCCGTTTAGGGTTCAGGGTTAGGACTGTTAGCCAAGGAGTTCGCGCACCCGAAGCTTCCTCGTGAACTGAAAAAGAAAGCCCCAACAAAAATTGAACTTCAGACCCCGCACCCTACTCCACAAGCCCGAGAACCGAAACGTGCCCAAATAGCCGTAAAACAAACCTGAAAAGCCCTTCACCCTAGACCCCAAACCCTAAACCCTAAGACCCTAAACCCTACAGTGCCCCACAGTGGCCTGTTGGATGAGACCCGCCCGCTCACGCTCCGGAAGAGTCGGAGCGACCTTTGGCAAAAACCGTGTGCTTGGACTGGGGGCTGAGGGTATAGCGGTTTTGGGTTTCTGGTTTGGGTATATATAGGGGTTTTGGGCTTATGTTTTGGGTTTAAGGAATGGGGTACAGGGTATAGGGTTTAGGGTTTCAGGGTTTAGGGTATAAGGTGTATAGCGGTTTTGGGTTTATGGGTTTGGATTTAAGGATTGGGGTACAGGGTCTAGGATTTAGAGCTCCAGGACCTCACGGGCTGATGGCTTAGTGTAGCGACAGTCTTTCCCAAGCGAAGCCGGTTGTACAACTTGGAGGATCATGGGACGTAGTAAGTAAGGTTATAAGTCCTTTAACTGGGGTTATATGTATAGTTACCTTAGTTATAACCCTACTTACTAAGTCCCATGACCCTTTAGGTACATCTTGAAAAAACCCCAAAAAGCCCTAAACCGTAAACCCTTAAACTCTGAAACCCAAAGCCTCATTGTAGTCTAAGGACCCAAAACAATGGGAATTATGGTATATTGCCTAAGATGGGTAATGCAGGATTTATATCATCAACCGTAGTACCCATCAAGAGACATCCCGAAACACTAAACTCCAAACCCGAAACCCCCAACCCTAAACCCCAAAACCTGTAAACCCTAAAACCCTAAAAACCCTAAAACCCTAAAGCCCTAAACCCTAAACCCTAAACCCTAAAACCCTAAAATCCTAAAACCCTAAAGCCACATAATCCCCAACCCTGAACCTTCATCTGGCCTCCAGGAGCCTCTGCCTGAACTCGGTTACCTGCATCGATCGGTTCAGGTTTGGGTTTCGGTTTAGGGTTTAGGGTTTAGGGTTTAGGGTTCAGGTTTGGGTTTCGGTTTGGAGGTTCGATCTCGATGAAGGTTTAGGACTCACTTCATTTTTCCTTTAAGGCTTTAAGGGCAGGCACAGGCATTATTTTATAATCCTGCATAGCCATTCAATTTTTTTATCCCCAGCATCACTATAAAATCTGCATTGTCGTTGCATCGGGGTACCTTCGGTGAATCTGTCCCATAACCCATGCACGACATCCCAGCCTCGGCCGAAAATCGATAGTTTTGTTCCTGAGAAGATCGCAGAGGATGTGTGGCAAGTCAATGCATGATGGCTTTCAAAGGCTTCAGTAGCAGGCTTGGGTGCCGCCGTTTTGCTTCCGGTCTTCGGGTATTGCGCCTGTGTCTTGAGTCTGGAGTTTCACGGAGTGTTGTGTCAGTGACGCCTGGGATGCAACAAGGCATCATCGAATGACCTGGACCTGAACTAGTTTGTGGGGTATGAGCGTTGATATATGGAGGTCATTATGGAGGTGGTCAGGTTGAGTTTCGTACCTATTAGATCGAAAGCAAGAATCGTAACACCAGAACTACGACTACGACTTATACTTCGATGAAAAGCAGTAGTGTTATGGGTGCAATTCTGCCCCCCCGCCAAAACTTTCCGCACATCTAAGCCCATCGAACCGCCCAGCGTGGACCGTATAAAACCTGTTCTTTGAGGGATCGTCCTTACAACTTCTTTATATAAGTCTGTTGGAGCAGGTAAGCTTTTTGGGGTTAAGGTTGGGTGTAGCGCACACAAAGTGAGTTCCTTTACGCCTGACACGCGCAAGCTTTGGCGAACCGCGGCTGCAGTTTGAATGCTCGAACGCGGTCCCAAAGTTTAAGCAAGGACGGTTTAAGGTCTACCTATAGTCTCCATTGTAGTTCCTTTCTGGGGATACCTTATAAAACCCTTAATATATAATTGGTTCAACCAAAAAAAGGAACTACAATGGAGACTACAGGTAGGCTTTACGGTTTAGGGCCCCGGGCGTAGGGTACGCATTTTAATTCTGCATGCCAAGGGACAGCCATGGAACTGATTCTTTCCTGCCAAGATCGAGACATCTGCGTTCAAGTCCAACAGAATATCTTAGTACAGGGGCCTTAATCGTTGGAATAGAGTTGTGGGGGGTATACACTAACATGACTATACTATGATTTCTGATAGAGAGCCCCAATAAAATCATGTTGGCAAAGCTTCAGACCCTCACTGTACGTAAGCAGTGAGCAACTTTCTGGCCTGAGCCTAGGACCCGGGTTCAGCGTCCAGCGAGATTCATTTTGGGCGCCTTAATGAGTAGAATAGGGTGTGGGGTATATTATACTATAATTACGGTAAAGAACCTCCAAAACCCTATTCTAATTCGTATAATTGGGGCCTCGATGGCCCTAAATCCTGTCACCATGAACACCGGAGTCCTGAACCCCTGATATAGGGGCCTTACTAATTAGGACAGGATGTTGGGGTATAGTATATTATATCTATAATAAGGAACCCCCAAAATAGTGTAGGTAATTATTAAGGCCCCTATGTTAAATCCCGTAGATCTTAGTAGGGAGTGATCTTTTGGCTCCTCGGATCCTTTCGGATTCCGGGACTGGGGCTTCTAAACCATCCCCCACAGGCCCCAAGATGGGAGCATCGAACTTGATCTACATTTAAGTAAGCCGTAAGCCCTTCTATATATATATATATATGTATATATATATATACACATATCTATATATATATATATATGGTGTAGGGGACTTAAGTAATTTGAATGGGGTTTGGAGGTCCATTATGCTATAATTACAGTAAGGAGCCCCCAAAGTAGTATAGGTAACTATTAAGGCCCCTATATTACCTAGAGGGCGCCTGTGGCCTTCGACATCAAGCCCCTATAGCTTCTCAGGGTTCGGTCTACCTGCGCCCAATCGTTGACGCTTCGGCCTGGGGTTAAGGGTCTTGGGAAGCGTCACTGAGATTCCGAAGGCATCTTGATTTGAAGCCAGTTTCGAGGGATCGTGCTTACAGATTTGGGGCAGGCACCCTCGCTCATGACAACCACAGGTAGTAAATCTCACCTATAGGTCGCTAGATCCTTTCTCTCCACACCCTTGCACTGCGCTCCTGCTTGCTTGCCGGAAAAAGTAGCGCACATGCAGACAGACACACGAACACGAACAAGCAGAAGGCCCCTTTGCAAACACAGGGGAGAAGTGGTGCATTGGTTAGGGCTTAGGGTTTAGGGCGTGTAGGGTTTAGGAGGTTGAGATCGACAGACTTCGACCCGCGGCAACATCTGACACGCGCTCGGCAAGGTATACCACATGCCCGCGCCTCAGCCGTTTCCAAATGTCCTTTCCTGTGGAGGCGATTAGTGTTGTAAGCGTTCGGGAACGCCACGACTTACCCTGCACCCAGCATGTACTACAACATCTTATGCTACACTCTAATATACTCTAAGCTACTACATCATATAATGTACTATAATGTACTGTAACATACCACGACATACTAGAACATACTAAACCCATGTTGAGCCTTCAACTCCCTTCTTCCAATGGCGCCGAAAGATGTAAGGCCTATGACCGACATACGATGTGCCATGACCCTTCAAGTGCTGACTTTGCTGCTCTGCCTCTTAAAAACGAGGGCTTAGCAATTTCAATCGGGTTTGTGGGAATAATCATGCTACCATTAGAAAAAACCCCGAGGACGCGTACTGGTAATGATTTAACAAAAAAGCACCGAAATAAGCGGGTGCCCTACATGGCATCCGCCTAAAGCCGGCGGTTTGGAGGTTCAGTCCTTTCCAAACACACTGGAATGAATAGAAGACAAGGGCCCCGTCTTTGCTTGTGTCTGTGAGTGGGGTTATTTACCTGACCACAAAAAGGAGCAAAGGCTGATCAGTATCTGTTGTAGTATCGGTGCAAAACCTGGCTGCTAGCGATGTCATACCAATCAATACTGCTCATGACTCATGCTAATGGCCAGAGCGGGCCATTGTTTCGAGTCATTTCGTACAACTCAAAACCCATCACTGTATGCCATCCTCGGATGCCCTGCTGATAGTTCTCGCCTGGTTGCTGTCGGAAAGAGTTACTGCGAGATTGCTGAAGGTGCCGGCATGTGCGAGCCTGTGCTTATCTTGAAGCCGATGATCGGTTGTGCACGTTACCCGGCGCATCGGCAACCTTTGGCCGTTAGCCTGCCTTGTGCTACTGAAAATGCTTTGCATGATAGTCTTCTCACCCCCTGCTCGTATGCTGTTTTGACGGGCCCCGAATCCGAATCCGAAATCCCCATAAGCCCTTCAACCTAAATCCCACAAGCCCTGCCCTCGAGCTCACCTCTCATCGAAGGGCTTTGTGCCGTTCCGGTAGCCTGCCGCCTGAGACCGATGGAGGCTCAAAGGGATCAGGGCTTCGGGTCGGTTGAGGGGTTCTCAAACTTAGGGACTTCTCCTGTAGATGTTTTTGATTAGGACCCTAAAGCCTAAACCCTAAACCCCTAAACCGCTCCTGTTTGGTGTCGAAAATAGGGTCCTCATTTTCGAAGGTCCCGTTTTGGCAGTCCAGGAGTTTCAACTGTCGCTTCTTGCCCGCAGCATGAGGGGGTGTAGAGTTTAGGGGTTTTGGCTTCAGGTTTATGGCTGAAGCCATATCATCCTGCATCCTCAAATCCTCCACCCCAAACCCTTAACCCTCAAACAGACCAGATGGCAAACCTCTTACGCCTCGATTCCAACCTTGTCCTAGCCAGAAAACCACGTAGTAGCTTTGTTTCGCATGTTCACGGGGTTACTATAAAGGCCTGGAAAATTACCAATATTATTCCTTGGGATTCTTTTTCTACTATAAAGGAATCCAACACCTTATCCAATTATTACGGCTCCTATTTGAGATGAGTGGGTCCGGTGGCTTCGGGAGCTCCCTATCCTAATAGGGTTTAAGGGTTTAGAATTTTGGCGGTTATGGCTTAGGATTTGGGAGTTTAGGGTCTCGGCTCGAAGATACCCGCCGATTGCTAATCGCTTACCTGACAGGAGATATCAACAAGTACTTGAGGAAGCTTGCAATAACCCCCAGTTGCTTGAACGCGAAGCTTGTTAGTGTAACATTCTACTCTTATCGTTTTACAGGGAAACCGACGTTATCACTGCTTTCTACTCTTTAAACTGCCGTTTTACAAGACAAATCACCTAAACCCTAAACCCTAAACCCTAATCCCTTAACTCACCTTATGAACTTCAGGGCCGACTTGCTCTCACATCCGACAGCAGCCTTTCAAGTCAGCCCTTTCTCGATCCCTAACCCCAGGACCCGAACCCTTTACAATTTCTATAAACCCTAAACCCTACACTCTTACACCTAAACCCTCAACTCTTAAACCTAAACCCTAAACTCTGAAACCCAAGCCCTAAACTCTGAAACCTAAACCCTTAACCCTAAACTCTTAAACCTAAACTTCGAACTCTATGTGAGGAAGCTTGGGTCGTGGCGAAGGGTCGCGGACTCGACTTCGAATGGTGCAGGCCGCTCTGACCTCTCAGGTTTTCAAGGTTTAGGGCTTAGGGTTTATGGGGGTTTAGGGTTTAGGGTTTGAGGGTTTAGGGTTAACCCTAAACCCTAAACCCTAAACCCTAAACCCTAAACCCTAAACCCTAAACCCTAAACCCTGAGACTTTCTTGCAGGTTGAGGAATTTTGGAACAGGAGGGGACCTGGGTCCGAAAACTTTTAACCCCCCCAACAAACCCCAAACCCTAGAGGTCTAGGTACCGTTAAAAAGGGTTTAGGGCTTTGGGGCTTTGGGGTTGGGGTTATCGGTTAAACCTAAAACCCCTAAAACTTTATGTTCTGGATTATGTACCATCTTGCTTGATTATGGTGGTCCAGGGTTTTGAACCTCGTTCAGGCCTTGCTTGGGCCGTCAACTAGAAGTATCGAAAGACTCACGCAGGTTGCAAAACAGAAGTAGACAGGGAACCACCAGCACACCCCACAAGGCCTACTAGAAACAGAAAAATGCAATTCTACCGACAGTGCAGCCCAATCATGCCCCGGCCTGTCCCATTCGCCGGCGCCACCTGCGTCTGCACCGCACTTCTGATATTCGGGGGTCTATGACAGGATTGCTTTGCTGGATATCGGCATCCCATGCTACAGGCTTGGAGCGTGCCCGTGCAGCTCGGTTTCTCTCCGATATCTGCCGTCCCAACCCTAAAAACCCTTGTAAGCTCTTCTTGGATGCTTATCCTAAGCCTCCGGCCTTCCGGGAGATGAACGAGAGGCCCAGAGACGGTCAATGGGAGGGCCATGACTTAGGGTCTAGGGTTTAGGGTGCAGGGTTTAGGGTTTTGGTCATGAGTTGCCGCCCTTGTTGCTTCAGGCCTATGCAACCCGCAACCCTTCTTGTTCGCGCAATGACAGCACAACTCCTCGACACCAATGCCTTCCACATTTTATGTCTCATATCAGGGGTTAATTTATCTGCTGCCCGCCACAACCCCGGACCCTAAACGCACCCTACAAAGCCCAATAGAACCTTTACGGCTTATAAGAGATTAGGGTAACACCCTCTGAACCGCAAACGAAGCATTCCCGATTCCCCAGTTGTCCCAGTTTCGTAAGGGAGCGGAAGGCTTCTGTTTGGGGTTGTACCGGACTCATACTACCCGAAAGTGTAAAGGTTACTTACTTGGCTACTAAGATCCTCTTATCAACCCCTTTCGCACCCCTATAAAACCACAGCAAATTAAAATCCTCATTACACCCTGAAAAAAAAGTACAAACCCGGTGTAGATCCTAAACCCTTCAGTCCTAAACCCGTAAACCCGAAAGCCCTCAATCCTAAACCCTAAATGCTTGAACCCTAAATCCTTGAACCCTTAAGCCCTAAACCCGTAAACCCTTAAGCCTTAAATCCAAAACCCTTAAATCCTAAACCCCGTAACCCCGAAAGCCTTAAACCCTTAAGCCCTAAACACGTAAACCCGAAATCCTAAACCCTAAAGCCCTGAACCCTAAACCCCCCGAACCCCGAGAGCCCTAAATCCTAAACCCGAAAACCCAAAACCCCGCAAAACCCTTGAGCCCTAAACCCGTAAACCCCGAGAGCCCCACACTTCCATCCCTAAACCCTAAACCCTAAGCCTTAAACCCCTAAACCCTGAACCCTAAACCCTAAACCCTAAACCCTAACATCCTCTGCAGCCCCGCCTGGCGCGAAACCGGGAGCCGCACGGGAGCCGAAGCGGTGCCAAGCGGAGGGTCCCTTGGAGCTGAGGGGTTTAGGATCTTTAAGGGTTTAGGGTTTAGGATCTTTAAGGGTTTAGGGTTTAGGGGGTTTAGGGTTAGAGTTTAGGGTTTAGGGGGGTTAGGGTGTAGGGGGTTTAGGGTTTGGTGTTTAGGAACTTTAAGGGTATAGGGGGTTTAGGGTTTAGGATCTTTAAGGGTTTAGGGTTTAGGGGGTTTAGGGTTCAGGGGGTTTAGGGTTTAGGGGGTTTAGGGTTTAGGGTCTTTAAGGGTTTAGGGTTTTGAGGTTCAGGATTTTGGGGGCTAGGATTTTGGGGCTTTGAGTTTTAGGCTCTGTGGGGTTTAGGCTGTAGGGCTTCATTATTTTGGGGTTAAGGCTTTGGGGTTCACTTAGGCTGTAGGGTTCAGGGTTTTGGGGTTAAGGTTTTAGGGCTGCTGGGGTTTGGGCTTTACGGTAGGGTCTAGGGATTTGGGGTCTGGGGTGTTTTTAACCTTTTCTCCTCCTGTACAGCATCTTTGGCGACGAAGCTGATCTGGGGGGTTCTGGGATCGGGGTTGGAGATTTAAGTTTATTGTATGGGGTTTGGTGTTGAGGGTTGGATTTCATGTTTTCGATTCGGGCGAGTGGTCGAGGTATTCGGGCTCCAGATAGCTCGAACATGCAAAGGCACAACTACTGCACAGGAGCTGACTATTGATGATGATACTGGTGGTGTCCCCGGATGCAACACAGGACCCAACTGCGACCCAGCCCGCGAAGTAGTCATCATGGTGACGATGCTTGTGCTGATCTTGCAACTCAGCCCCCCCAAGCCGATTTCATGCGATACTGATTACGCACAGTGGGATTACAAGTTCCTGAGTATGAGAACAAGGCAGGATTCTGAGAATCAGCAGGAGTAACCCTATGCTCTGAGTGCCGAAGGCTAAAGTGCTAGACTAATGCAACACAATAAGCTAAAGTTTGTGGCTGATGCGACCAACAGTGTCATGCTATTGATGTTCACACTGGTATCAACAAACCCTGAATCTTAACCCCCGAGCGCGAAACTCTTGAAATCTAGAGGCCTAAAGCTCCTTATTATGATTATACTATAGCGGACCCTACTACCCTGTTCTAATTATCAAGGCCGCTATATTATCCCAACACCCAAAAAGCTTGACAACCTTGAAACCCCTAGACCCTAAACATCCCTAAACCCCCTAAACCCTAAACCCCCTAAACCCTAAGCCAAAACCCTCTTGGGATTCCGGCCGCGGATGCCGGCTCGGAGGGGATAGGCCCTCGTTGCGTGCGTCCACCTTTCCTTCCGCCTCTTGGGCTCTGGGCCACGGGGACTTAGGACTTTAGGGTTGAGGGTTTAGGGCTTCAGGCTCAAGGTTTAGGGTTTAGGGTTTCGGTTTAGGGTTTAGGGTTTAGGATTTAAGGTTTATGGTTTCGGTTTAGGGTTTAGGGTTGAGGGATTTCGGATGAATTCGGGCTTCGGGGCTTCAGTGCTTAAGAGGGGGTTTAGGGGGTCTTCGGATCAGGGGTCTTCGTGTTTGCGATTTCGGTTTTGGAGTCTTCACGTTCAGGGCTTCGGGCTGGATCTCGGAGTTTCTGGAGTCTCCGGGGCTCACTGGGAGGGTTTAGGGTTTACTGGATTTGCTGTAGGGTTTAGGGTTTCAGGGTTTAGGGTTTTAGGGTTTAGGGTTTTAGGGTTTAGGGTTTAGGGTTGCGAAGGTTTCGGAAAGTGCAGGCGGTAAGAGCGATCAAGAAGCTACCGCGATTTAGGGTGCTACATCCAACACTACCAGCAGCAATCGTACTCATGTTGTGCCGCAGTACGAATGGCAACAATACGTACGTAAGTGACAAATGACAAAGGCAGTGATCCTACTGCTTGCAGAAACAGTGAGGCTATAACAACTACAATCTTGCATTGGTATGCAAAGGTTCCAGTGCATCGTGTTACTTTTGTTCCGGGTTGGGCCGGGTTGTAATATGAACTGTAAACGGTTGGTAATTACTTAGGCCCCGAAACCCTAAACTCACATACTAGCCCTTCTAGAACCCCTTCAGGAACCCTTTAAAGGAACCCCCCAAATCCAAAATTTAGGGCTTAGTTCCTTACATACGAGCCCTTCTAGCCCTTCTAGAACCCCTGAAGGAACCCTTTAAAGGAACCCCCAAAACCCTATTCTAATCCGAACCTTACACGTGGGCCCCTGGGCCTTCAGACGCCGGCGCTCGAGGATTCCGTGGAGCTCGGGGGCCGCTGACGTCTGGGCCCTGCACAAGGGTTTTAGGGTTTACGGTTTAGGGTTTTAGGGTTTAGGGTTTTAGGGTTTTAGGGTTTTAGGTTTTTAGGGTTTAGGGTTTAGTCTTAGACTTGTTTTTCAGAGCTCTTGCAAGGGTTCCTTTTCCCTAAGGGTTCCTTTAAGGATTCTCTAAGGGTTCCTTTGAGGATTCCCTAAGGGTTCCTTTAAGGATTCCCTGGAAATCGTTTTTTGAGGATTCCATAGCGGCTTGGAGTTTTGGGGTTTAGGCTTAGGGTTTAGGGTTTTGGGTTTTGGGTTTTAGGCTTAGGATCAAGCTTCGGTCGGACATGCGTCGGGAAGGTTGAAGGTTTAGGGCCTGGGGCTTGAGACTAATGAGGCGAAGGGAAAACACACACGCCGCGGTCCATGGCCCCTGAACCCCAAACCCTAAAACCCTAAACCCCAAACCCCAAACCCTAAACTCTAAACCCAAGACCCTAAACCCAAAACCCTAAATCCAAGCCCTAAAACCCAAACCCTATAACCCCCGGGCCATAGGTCGGTGGGGCCTTGTGTTGGACTTCAGTTTCAGTTGATGGTGGTTAGGTTGTGGGGTTTTTGGGGTTTCCTTACTATAGTTATAGTATTAGATACCCCCAAACCCTGTTCTAATTATTAAGGCCCCTATAGTAGGTTGTGGGGTTTTGGGGTTATTCAGTCCCAGAATTTAAGGGAGTTAGGGCTTTTAGTTCCTAGGTTTAGGGTTAGGGTTTTTAGGTCCTAGGGTTTAGGGTTTAGGGTTTTTAGGTCCTACGGTTTAGGGTTTAGGGCTTTAAGGTGCTAGGGTTTTTGCTCTGGCGATGTTAGGACTCTAGGGGTTCGGGGTGATGGGGTTAAGTCTACAGGCTGTGGTGGCCGTCGGCTTTGAAGCATGACGGCATAAGTGTAGGTGTAGAGTTGAAGGTGAAGTTCCAGGGGCTATGAACTCCCTCCTCATGCCTACGTACTCCCGGAACTCTTAGTCACCAGGAATCTTGAACCCTTAGTCTTGAAGACATGGAGCAGTCAAGCGCAACAAAGAAACAAAGATCGGGTACTCGCCGCACTCTTCGCCCAATCCGATCATCGCAACCAAACTTGCCTATAGTCTCCATTGTAGTTCCTTTTTGGGGATACCTTATAAAACCCTTAATATACATAATTGGTTCAACCAAAAAAAGGAACTACAATGGAGACTACAGGTAGATTGCCAACTCAAAGGCCCTGCCTATCCATCCGAGTGCAGGGACGGGCCGGCCAACGTAGTTAGCAAGTGCCAACTAGATCTCGTGCTGGGTGGCTGACTGTATTGAGGCTACAGCATCTCAATCGATAGCACGGGGCAAATCTCTGCGCCAAATGCATCTTCGTTTCTGGACATGTTCTTGCTGCTTGGAGTGTTCTTTGTCCGCAGTTCTGCTGATTGAACATACCTCTGGGGAGCTGCGGCTTGCGAAGTAGCTCAATGGAGCCAAAGCTTGGATTATAGGAGTGCTGCTGTAGACAACGCCAAAACACCGAAGGACTACCGACTGAACAGGCAACACCAAAAGAGCAGCGCAGGCGTCTGGTTCAACCTCAGCTGGGAGGGCGGGGGACGTTTGTCGGAAGCGGGGAGGGGCCCAGACCCCCAAATCGACTTACAAACTAAAGGAGCCTCAGTACTTGATAGAATAGGGTTTTGGGGCCAATTATGCTCTTTTTACTCAGGAGCCCCCAAAATAGTATTATTGGTAATTATGTCCTATCTTGGACCCTAGTGCTCAGTGGTCCCAGCTAGCCGCGAGGCATTCAACCCATTAATAAATATAGGGTTTTCTGGTGTCTATAGTATACTATGCTATTAAGGAACCCTAAGGAATTATGATACTGTTTGCTCCGAACCGTATAGGAACCCTACAATCCTACTGTTGATGTAAATCCTGCATTACCTCAAGGACCCTAAACTACGGGAACTATGGTGTTTTCCTTACTATGGGTAATGCAAGATTTATACCATCAACCGTATGTTACATCTTTAATCCTGACTCCCGGGGTTTCGGTTTGGAGGCCTGGGATTCGGAGCCTCCGTCTGTTCTCGGCTTTGGCTTCTATAGGTTGTAGCTGCTATTGCAGCTTTTGGGGCTTAAAGATTTAGGAGTGTGCTTAGGGTTTTAGGGGCATAGGGTGTAGTGTCTACTGTCTAGGGTTTAGGGCTTGGGCCTTGGGCTCTTGCGTAAGGCCTGAGTATGGCCGGGCTATACCCGACTACACTGTTGAGGGCTTCGGCAGATCGCTACGCCGACGCGGCATCCCAAACGTTGAAACCTGAAAAAGTCTCGCACAAGAACCAACCCAGAGGGTCCGACTACCCCAAATAGTAAAGTTTTTAGGTCCCAAAATCCGCACTCTGAGTGGTTTTTGGACCTTGAAGAAACCCTACTATTTGGGCACTTGGACCCTTAGGGCAAGGCACCTGGAATTCAACGTGATCTGAAGCCTGAATGCAGTAGCGGCTTGCCCTAAGGCTCCCATGTACCTGTATAGGGTATACGTGTAGGCCTTTATAAAGGCGTTCCAATATAGGTACTGTCAGGCCTTTAATAAGGATAGTTATTCTTATTCTATATAGATAACGTAGGGGCCTTAATTATTAGAATAGGCTTTTGGGGTAGATGATACTCTAATTATAACAAGGAACCCCCTAAAACCCTATTCTAATTCTTAAGGCCCCTACATTAGGTACATGGAGCTTTAGGGTTGCAGTGTGCGCATCCCACGTCAAGGGCCCCGACGACGTCGGCTGCAAGGACGACCACGAAGAATGCCAGAGCCCAAGGGCGAGCGGCGGCGCGCGTTAGGGTTTAGGGGTTAGGGTTTAGGGTTTAGGGTTTAGGGTTTAGGGTTTAGTATGTGAATTGGGAGCTCGCAGAATCCTAAACCCGAAGCCCTGCCAGAGGGGCCTCAACAATTACCACAGGGTCTTGGGGTAGATGTACATTATACTGTATCACAATCAAAATGAGGAGCCTTCATGCGGACCATTACAAAACTTTCCGGCCCCTCTATTATAAGCTGCGCTCCTTGGGGCAGTTCTCCCTGCAGGCACCTCAGCCCTGCAAGCACCGCCACCAAAAAGCAATCGGATGGCTAATATAGTCGCCTTAGTAATAACTCGAACTGGGCTTTGGGCTCTTTCCTGTATAATCGTAATAAAGAGCCCCAAGGAAAAGTATTGGTAGTTATTTAGGCTCCACAATACATAAATAAATAAACAAATAAATAAATAAATAAATATATATATATATACAATACATGTGTATACATCTGTATATATATATATATATATGTACATTGAACTGCGTGCCTGGCTAAGCCCTGTCATTGTATGGCTTTGGGGTTGGGGCCCTGGCGGGTCCAGGACATGTGAAACGAGCAGGCTTGCTCCAATACAGCCTGAGAGATAGGGACTTAAGCTTGAACTCCAATAATGTAGGGGGCTCAATAGTTAGAATAGGGTTTTGGGGCCCTTATAGTATAA